ATTCACACATATGTATTGTGACTGGGATTTGTTATTAAAAAAAACAAAAAACACAGTAAAAACAGATTTTAATGTTTCTAATGCAGCATGTAAGGCAAATCTGATTGGTTGTGTATAGGCTACTTGGGGGTTGTCCTATGGGACCATGGGTGGAGCTAACCCAAGGTATGCTGACTTGAAGAGGTTCAGGAAAGACTATTTATTCTGTCATCTACCAGGCCCAAAGGGAAATCCTCCTTTTCACAGGTCCCCTCTGATCTTATACCATGGGGGGTCTGTGACCTCCGTTATTTCCTAGCATTGTGTTGGGGGGGGGGGTTTATATCTATACTTTCCAAAGTTTTACAGCTTATTGTCTGGTATACTTGTCTTGTACATAGCATGTTTCTATCTTGAGATACCTACAAAGAACACTCCTGCATATGAAATATGTTTTGGACTCCGTGTTTGTACATTTTGATTCATTATGCTGTAAACATTTTGGTTTTGTCACTAGTGATACTAAATGTAATTCTGATCAATAAATTATTACATTTAACTACTGATCTGACTGGTAACATTTGTGCTGAACTTCACTGCAGTCAAATAAAGTTCCTTGGACAAAAGTATCAGATTGAGTGTTCTTCACACACGTTTATCAATGTAGCATGCCACAGGGGAGCTTTAGGATTAACCGCTTTCCCACCGCCATATAGCAACAGGGGTGCGCAAAATTATATATGTTGCATTTCCAGGTATGGGACACGCACGAGCCCTACCCACACCGCCATTGGAGGCCTCACCTGTTGATCACTGTGTCCTGGCCGATGATTACCTACCAGCACACAGCGATCACCGTGTATTACCGACGGGGGAGAGACCTGTATGTAAATAACACAGATCTCTCTCGTCAGCTCCTGCACACTGCTTTGTATGGCTCTGCATAACACAGTGTAAAGCACACACACAGCAGTTAATCCCTTCCTGCCCAGTGCCATTAGTAGTGTCAGTGCTTTTTATTAGCACTGATCACCGTATTAGTGTCACTGGGGATGTCAGAATGCCTGCTGCAGTCCTGCTATAAAGTCACTGATCATCACCATTACTAGTATAAAAAAGAAAACAAAATTCCAGTATATATACCATTTGCAGATGCTATAATTTTCACATAAACCAATTCATTTACACATATTGGGATTTATTTTTTTAGCAAAGACCTGCAGCAGAATACATTTATGACAAAACTTGATTTTTTACTGAAGATGTTTAATAGCAAAAAGTTAAAAATATTGGGTTTTTTCCCTCAAAATTGGTGGTCTTTTTTTTACAGCGCAAAAAAAAAAAGAAAAAAAAAAAAAACAGACAGGTGATCAAATACCACCAAAAGAAAGCTCTATTTGTGGAAAAAGGACATACATTTCATTTGTGTGCAGCATTGCATGACCGCGCAATTGTCAATTAAAGTAACGCAGCACCATATCACAAAAAATGGCCTGGCCAGGAATGGGGGTAAATCCTCTGGCGGGCAAGTGTTTAGAATAGTTTTCTGTCTTTAAAGGTGTCCTTCACTTTTCTGAGAAATGTTTGTTTACATCTGGCTTTGCTGCAGTTGGTCCCAGCCACCACTAGATGGAACTCTTGTGAGATGAATGGTCACAGGTGGCAGCTGGGAGTGACTTGTCAGCACAATATATACACTGCAGTCAGCATGGGGGGACTCAAATCTATTTCAATAAACTACAGGAGTCTTTTTTTTTTTTTTTTTCTTCACAAACAGCCAACTATATGAGCAGATTATTGCTGTTACAGAGACCAGTCACAAATCAGCTTCATCAAGAATATAAAGATTTATTTGCCTTCTTTTAGCTATTCAGCCATGTTAATTGCTATTGTTATGCACACTCACACTGGGAGATGGCCTCTCATGAGCATAGTAAGGCAGCTGACATCAAGTGATCATTTCTGACTCAAGCGCAAGAGCTAGCCACAAAATAGGTAATCAAATACACCCATGAACTATAAAGCAAAATGATATTATTTTTTGCAGACAGTAATTTGTGTAGACATGAGAACTTAAATACAGAACATAAAATGTAACCAGTAAAATGATCAGATAGCTAGCTGGATGGAACTGGGAAAGGAACTAGAAACCTGTCATAGAAACCCCAGAGGAATGTAATGTCCAGGACAAAAGAACTCTACAGAAATTGAGCAGAAGAGAAAATAAAGTAATGCTGTTTGTACATAGGCCATCATGGTTTATGTGTCCCTAGGCCTGCAGACAGCAAACTCATACACCCTCCCCAAAAGCAGTGGTTAATATGAGCCACTGGATCTGTCACGTGTACTTGTCAAAAGGGCCAACTATGCCTGCCCTTTCCACCCCTCTCTCCTCTATTTATAGGAAGATTTTCATTGCTGGAAACTATAGTACAGTTTCTATAAATGGGGGAGTTGGATGGAAGGAAGGCAGGTATAGCCGGCACTCTTGACAAGTGCCTATGATAGGTCCAGCAGCTCATATTACAGTATGGGTGGGGCAAAGGACTGAAGATTTCAACTAAAGCCGGCCATAGGTGGTTCAAAATCTCAACCAGTTCATCTGAGATTCAAACCATGTACGGGCAGACTATTAAAGCCACTAATAATAATCACCGTGTTCTCCCAGCAGGGATGGCTCCTCCCACCCCCCTGCTAGAACACAATCGCTCCACCAGAGGGATACCCTCATCAACACAGTCAGTGTTGATGGGGGAATTGAGCAAATTTTCTTTCCTGCAACCTAATCGCTCTATGCCCAAGTTAAGAGAGCAGCCACTGCCAAAAGGGACACTTCTGTTGAATAAAATAATAGCAACTAAACAGGCAATAAGTAAAGACTAATGTAGAATGTGGTAAGAAAGCAAGCTTTCTACTTTATAGTCAGTTACATTGTAAATGTACTGACCAATAAACAAGAGAACAGAGCTATGGTTTTGTTTTTTGAAGTACAGCGAGTCTTCTGACTGCTCAACAGCCTCTGCCCACACTTCCCCCTAATAGTTAATTTGCTGAAGTATCCAGAGGTGGCCAGCCAAGACAGTGAAAAAGAAATCAAATCAGAGTTTTAAGATGTTAAGGCTTGGCGCTGCTCCCCTTACCCTGCTGACCTAGGTGGTAGCCTACAATTGCTATCATGAGAATTACAGCCCTGACTATATGGAGAGTGCCTTAAAGGTTCCGAGGAAACAAGGCTGCACTGAGTCGTCTCTAAAGCTAGGTTCACACATGTGTGGATGGTACAGCTCACCTTTGCAGAGTAGCCCATTCATTTGGATGGGCTGCTGTACCTGCAGAAAACGCAGAGGGGGAAAAAAAAAAAAAAAAAAAAAAGTCCCCGACCCATTTTTAAAAAAGTGGCCACATGTCTTCCAAGTGGCCAATGTCTTCCAAGGGGTAGGGGTGCCTCATTCACACCATATGCAGAAAATCTGATGTAAAAAAAAACCAAACAGATTTGATCTGCATGGAATATTCTGGGCTTGATCACATCTGCAGAGAGATACATTTTTCTAAAGTAGGTCTCCAAGACACAAAGAAAACCATTGGTTTTCTATGTGCCCTGTTCACAGTATAATGTTGATGTTGCAAGTGTTTCTGCACATGCAAGTTTTTTTTCTGCACAGGAAAATTACACACAAGATACCAGTGTTGTGGTGTGAACAGGACACACCGCAGATCTGTCATAGATTTTTCCATAGACCAGCTGCGATTTCTCCTGCGCTCTAGGGCCCAGACCGGTGGCAAATAGATGGAACCAACACCAGAGCAAGCAACCACCAGTATATTTCACAGTTGTGCAGCTCCAAAAACAGGGCTGGGGAAGCCCGATCAATACTGCAAAGTGAAACAAAAAACAAGAAGCGCACCAACCTTGCGCATTACCTCAGTAACAGAATTTATTAATAGAAGATAGGTACTCACAAACAGCGAATAAAATCAGGCATGTAGTCCTCAAAGGGACTTCAAAGATAAGCAAGGTTGGTGCGCTTCTTGTTTTTTGTTTCACTTTGCAGTATAGATTTTTCCATTCCATGCATGTCCTTGATGGTTCAATTCAAGTTTTGCAGCCTGTGAAAGAGGTTAAATAGCCATATGAAGAGGTTAGGAAAATATCTGCACATGTGACATTCTATCCCCAAAATGCTTTATTGGCTAACCCACAAAAGAGATCTGATGGCCCAATCACCTTAAAACAGAGGAAGAGCCCACATCAGAAATTCATAAGATACAATGTATTTATTTTGTAGCACTGCGTTTCGTATCTTCCACTGATACCAGCGCTACTCCCCTTTTATATTTATTTAGTTTTTATTACATAAAATAATTTCAGTGGCAATGTGACATCTTGATCATTGTAGTGGATCTGACGGGAGGAAAATGTACAAAATCATCCTATCTTTAATAAATATTGCATATTAAAAGAAAGTCCACTGTATTTAAATAATTCAAGAGGTGTTTATATTGGCTGTGCCTTTAGCAAACCAGAAGACAATCACGTACAAAGGGGTAGGGAAAAACTCAAAAAGGTTCGTAGCGGGAAGAAATCCTCGTGTTGATCTGTGACATTAACCGGAGTTTTTGTTGCTATGGTAACATTTTCTGGCTTCGCCATTAAGCTTTATAGGGGAGTGACAGGTTGAAAAGAGACATACAAGTGCAGGGAGTATGATAGGTTGATCTGCTTGGCTGTCACGCTGTAAGAAACCATGTGCTTGCTTGGCATTCATAGAAAGAATAAAAAATATATAGAGCAGGCTGGGTAAGATTGCCAACATTCACTCTAACTATTCTTTATCAGCTACCCCGTGACAATTTATTTAGAGCAAAAACACTTAAACTCTTCCATCATCGGGATAAGAGCGCAGCCCAGTACAGCTGCTCACTAATGTCCCTTCAAAGACTCAGCATGGAAAGAAGTCTGTTTTGAGCTCCAGTTTATAATGTTCTCTTCATGCAGCTCTCAGTCAGTAGATTCTCTCTCAATCTAATTCAATAGGGCTGCTGTCATCCTGGCCATCCTCCACGTCATCCTCATCTTCACCAGCCCCCATTAGACTGTTCAACAGGTTACCTTTGTACAAAAAAAAAAAAAAAACACCACACAACAGTTTAGATAGGTTCTCAAAAGTTCAACATTTTAAAAAAATAAATAATTGCATTTTATAGTTATGATTTAGAAGTAAATCTCAGCAATGCACACGTTAAATCCCTTTAAAGATCGCACAAGTAAACAGAAGCACTTGGTGGTCTGCCAGAAGTGCTCCCAGCTCCTCCCAATTTCCTGCAGTAGGCCAACATGGTGTCATTTCTAGACTAAAACTGCACAGAAATGTCAGCCTTCAACAGCACCGTACGCTTCGACTATGCTTTCCCATTATTATACTTTGCTCTAAATTTTGTATAATCCATTTCAATTTCTGAAGCTCATTTCAGTAGTCCTCTATATATTATTAGGGAACAGGATAAGCACTCAGCACTGAAGGAAAGCGGTCATAAGAAATCCTTGTGCTGCCACTACTATCCTTTATGCCATTTGCTATGCTAGTCCTTTGGTTCAATGCTTTGGGTCACTGCTTCAAGTACATTTGATACACATGAAGGAAGTGTACTTATGCCAGCAACTCAATGTGCTAAAACCAGGAGATCACCATTACAGAGAGGCAAAAGGCATTTCAGGAGGAAGTCTGGCAACCTATGTATTCTTTCATGCAGTTAAGAAATAGAGGTAAGATCAGCCATCATTGGAGAACGTCTGCTACTTTCACACCATACCTCACCCAAAGACCTGCACTGAAGGAGGGGAGCAGTCAAGAACAATCAATGTGCAGCTCTACTAGGCAAGAAGCAGAACTTGCATAAGAAAATCACACATATGTTTGCCATTTTAATACAATCCATTTAAAAAGGAAAGGGATGTTTTTTGTTTTTAAAGTCACATTGAAGGATAGCACTGCTTTGTTTATTTGAGCTGATCCAGATTCACATGTCTATAAAACCAGTAAAATGCGTTATATTTCCTTTTAAAGTGTTACTAAACCCAGGACCCTGCATTCACTATATCTGGTCTCCCACAGTACACAGAACATGGAAATGCAATTATTCTAGTAAATATAAACAGCTAAACACCTTTTCTCATCAGCAGTTAAAGCAGTCTTGTGACTTATCAGTGTCCAGCAGAGCACTGGTTAAAGCTTGTGAGATTTAATTCTACCCCAATTGTCCTAAGAAGCTGCAGGACCCCTGACCCTCTTTCTGGATGGTGTTGATTGGCCCTGTGCTAATCACATGCACCCTTCCAAGATTAAAAAAAACACCATCTCTAGCAATACATACCAAAAACTGAGCATGTGCAGCTTGCCCCCCAAGGTTCTGTTCTATCAGCAGATGGATTGGGGACAGTAGAAGGGTAGGATCAGAGAAGTCAGGATCAAAATATCCTTTTTACACAATGCAAAGGATTAACCTCTCAGTGTTCCACAGAGAGTAGAACAAGCATGCTTTACTGCATATACAGACTGATTTTACGGTTGTGGGTTTAGTAACACTTTAAGTGGAGTTCTGGGAAGATATTGTAATCTACTGTCTGATATTAATCATGACGCAATGTCATGTTAGGGCTGAGTCATGATTACTGGAGATGTTAGCCACAATAGCCTGCTTCCTTCTTTTATTTCCCCAAGGTACAGTATCACAGAAGTGATTACACCCCTCACATTTTTGTAAATATTTGATTCTATCTTTTCATGTGACAACACTGAAGAAATGACACTTTGCTACAATGTAAATTAGTGAGTGTACAGCTTGTATAACAGTGTAAATTTGCTGTCCTCTAGACATTAATGGCTGTGTGTTGAGTTATTTTTAAACTGCCGGCAACAAAAGTGAGTACACCCCTAAGTGAAAATGTCCAAATTGGACCCAATTAGCCACTTTTCCTCCCCGGTGTCATGTGACTCGTTAGTGTTACAAGGTGAGCAGGTGTGTGTTACATTTGGTTTTATCGCTCTCACTCTCTCATACTGTTCACTGGAAGTTCAACATGGCACCTCATGGCAAAGAACTCTAAAGAACTGAAAAAAAAAAAAAAAAAAAAAAAAGAATTGTTGCTCTACATAAAGATGGCCTAAGCTATAGGAAGATTGCCAAGACCCTGAAACTGAGCTGCAGCACAGTGGCCAAGACCATACAGCGGTCTAACAGGACAGGTTCCACTCAGAACAGGCCTCACCATGAGCAATCAAATAAGTTGAGTGCATGTGCTCAGTGTCATATCCAGAGGTTGTCCTTGGGAAATAGACGCATGAGTGCTTCCAGCATTTCAGCAGAGGTTGAAGAGATGGGGGGGGGGGGGGGGGGGGGGGGGGGGGGGGGGGGGGGGGGTCAGCCTGTAAGTGCTCAGACCATACGCCGCACACTGCATCAAATCGGTCTGCATGGCTGTCGTCCCATAAGGAAGCCTCTTCTAAAGATGATGCACAAGAAAGCCCGCAAACAGTTTGCTGAAGACAAGCAGACTAAGGACATGGATTACTGGAACCATGTCCTGTGGTCTGATGACACCAAGGTAAAGTGATTTGGTTCAGATGGTGTCAAACGTGTGTGGCGGCAACCAGGTGAGGAGTACAAAGACAAGTGTGTCTTGCCTACAGACAAGCATGGTGGTGGGGGTGTCATGGTCTGGGGCTGTATGAGTGCTGCCGCACTGGGGAGCTACAGGTCATTGAGGGAACCGTGAATGACAACATATACTGTGACATACTGGAGCAGAGCATGATCCCAGGGCAGTATTCCAACATAACGGCTCCAAGATGACCACTGCCTTGCTAAAGAAGCTGAGGGTAAAGGTGATATACTGGCCAAGCATGTCTCCAGACCTAAACCCTATTGAGCATCTGTGGGGCATCCTCAAACAGAAGGTGGAGGAGCGCAAGGTCTCCAACATCCACCAGCTCCGTGATGTCATCATAGAGGAGTGGAAGAGGAGTCAAGTGGCAACCTGTGAAGCTCTGGTGAACTCCATGCCCAAGAGGGTTAAGGCAGTACAGGAAGATAATGGTGGCCACACAAAATATTGACACTTTGGGCCCAATTTGGACATTGTCACTTAGGGGTGTACTCACTTTTGTTGCCAGCGGTTTAGACATTAATGGCTGTGTGTTGAGTTATTTTGAGGGGACAGCAAATTTACACTGTTATACAAGCTGTACACTCATTACTTCAGTGTTGTCACATGAAAAGATATAATAAAATATTTACAAAAATGTGAGGGATGTACTCATTTCTGTGAGATACTGTATAAGAAACTGAATTTATCACTCATGTTAATCTACAAATTGTCACACAAGATATAGAGATCTATCTCCTCAGAAATCTTTGCACTCCAAGAGAAGGTAAAGAGCCCTTATAAAATATGGTCCATTGTGCTCTCACAGGGATGAAATTCCATCATGACTTGCAGTGGTGATGAAAGAAACCTAAATCAACGGTGTGCTATGAAGGTTTACAAAATCTAAATAGTTGGTCACTAAATTTTTTATTACAGGTACTTATATAGCTCCGTCAATGTACGCAGCGCTTTACACACATACATTATATAATAATATATATATTGTACATTCACATCAGTCCCTAACCCTCAAGGGGCTTACAATCTAAAGTCCCTAACTTACATTTATACATACATACATACATATTAGGGCCAATTATTTAGACAGGAGCCAAATAACCTACCAGCATGTGTTTGGAGTGTGGGAGGAAACCGGAGTACCCAGAGGAAAGCCACGCAGGCACAGGGAGAACATACAAACTCCAAGCAGGTGGTGCCATGGTTGGGATTCGAATCAACGACCCTAGTACTGCCAGGCGGGCTTGTTAACCATTTAGCCACTGTGCTGCCCATTATCTTTGTAATCATATTTCTGGAATGCTTACTGCATTTATTGCAGGCTAAAATGTATATTATAGTGATTTTTTTTTTCCCCTATAAAAGGAAATGTTAGAATCTTGGTCAGCTTTAATTACCATTTGTCCTGGTGACCAGTCACTAAAACAGAAAGCAATGGAAAATCCAAAATTTGACAGTAGAGACCAGAACAGGAGCACAGAGTAGGCCTTCCAAAAGGAGACACTTGTTCCAGTTACAACTACAGTTGTGTTCAAAATAATAGCAGTGTGTTGAAATAAGTGAATAAAGCTCAAAATCCTTCTAATAGCTTTTATTTCCATACACACAAATGCATTGGGAACACTACACATTCTATTCCAAATCAAAACATGAAGAAAAATAGATCAAAATTTGTGTTGTTCCTCTAAAAAAATTGAAGAAAAGTGAATATTAGACTGTTCAAAAAAAACTAGCAGTGTTTGTATTCTTCTTTACAAACTCAAACATTCACTATATATAAACTGAAAGATGTTTGAAGATTCTGCTTTCCTTTGAATCACTTAATGAATATTTCGTTGTATAAGCACTGTTTCTGAGAACTGCTGTACATCTGTGTTGCATGGAGCCAACCAACTTCTGGCACCTGTGAACAGGTATTCCAGCCCAGGATGATTGGACTACATTCCACAGTTCTTCTCTATTTCTTGGTTTTGCCTCAGAAACTGCATTTTTTGCTGTCACCCCACAAGTTTTCTATTGGATTAAGATCCGGGGATTGGGCTGGCCACTCCATAACGTCAATCTTGTTGGTCTGGAACCAAGATGTTGCACGTTTACTGGTGTGTTTGGGGTCGTTGTCTTGTTGGAACACCCATTTCAAGGGCATTTCCTCTTCCGCATAAGGCAGCATGACCTCTTCAAGTATTCTGATGTATTCAAACTGATCCATGATCCCTGGTATGCGATAAATAGGCCCAACACCGTAGTATGAGAAACATCCCCATATCATGATGCTTGCGCCACCATGCTTCACTGTCTTCACAGTGTACTGTGGCTTGAATTCAGTGTTTGGGGGTCATCTGACAAACTGTCTCCGGCCACTAGACCCAAAAAGAACAATCTTACTTTCATCAGTCCACAAAATGTTGCGCCATTTCTCTTTAGGCCAGTCAATGTGCTCTTTGGCAAATTGTAACCTCTTCAGCACATGTCTTTTTTTCAACAGTGGGACTTTGCGGGGGCTTCTTGCAGATAGCTTGGCTTCACATAGGCGTCTTCTAATTGTAACAGTACTCACAGGTAACTTTAGACCTTCTTTCATCTTCCTGGAGCTGATTGTTGGCTGAGTCCTTGCCATTTTGGCTATTCTTCTATCCATTCGAATGGTAGTTTTTCGCTTTCTTCCACATCTTTCAGGTTTTGGTTGCCATTTTAAAGCATTTGCGATCATTTTAGCTGAGCAGCCTATCATTTTCTGCACTTCTTTATACGTTTTCCCCTCTCCAATCAACTTTTTAATCAAGGTACGCTGTTCTTCTGAACAATGTCTGGAACGACCCATTTTCCTCAGAATTTCAGAGAGAAATGCACTGTAACCAGCATGTACAACATTTTCTGCCTTCCTTCCTTAAATAAGGGCAATAATTGCCACCTGTTTTTCAAAGAATGAATGACCTCACTAATAGAACTCCACACTGCTATTATTTTGAACATGCCCCTTTCAATTAGTGACTCAATTACACAGAATCAGCAGCTTGCATGTCATGACTGTTGGGTCTGTTGGATTTCTATTACTCCTACACCTGCCTGCTAGTAAATTGCCATGTAGAAATATAATTTCTACCAAAAACAGCAATTGATCAGGTTAGTGATGTCTGACTGCTATTATTTTGAACACAACTGTATATAAGAGATCAAATCCTCACTTTAAAAAGATTTTCTCTTGCTTCCTGTTGGGTCTATGGGACAAGATGTTACACAGATAGTTAGTCTGGCTGAAAATAGACAGAAGTCAATCTTCTTACATAGAGGCAGACAGCAAAAATAAGCTTTGTTATTTTGGTCTACTTTACCCAAAAGTAAAAATCCTTGGGTACTTATCAGAGTAAAAATAATAGAACAGGTTTCAGGGGTTTTCTTCACGGTTCCAGCTTCAATACATAGTGAACTACTGCCCTAGTATGAGCATGCAAGATTTCAGACCTTTCTGGTTTGCTGTTTAAAAGACTTATATGGCAGGAGATTGAGGATGAGAATGACATTCGCACAGCTCTACTCACCCAATAATCCCCCATATGAAGATGACTGTTTAGGAGGTACCCCAAAGAAAAGTTGTCCTATCCTGTCCAGATACTGAAAAGTAGAAACACAGATATCCTTCTATCAGTCTAGCATGTACAGGCATTTGTCCTTTAATAAGCAAAAGTATTTCTTGGCTATGTGGAATTCTAACTATTACCATATAAAAACAACCCATCACAACCAAACCGATATAGGCAAAAATTAGTGGACACCTCAACATCATACCTATTACTGTTGGGCATCGAATCCCACAACCATAGACATTTATAGCCTACACACTTCTGGGAAGATTTTTGAGTGTGTCGGGGGGGGGTATTCATGTCCATTCAGCCAAAACAGCATTTGTGAGGTCAGGGAATGTAGGACAATATAACCTGGTATTCTAAATGTATCCCCAAGGTGCTCAGTATGATAAAAAGGTATGGGCACTGTGAAGGCCACTTCAAAACAAATCACGTCTTCATTGACTTGGATTCATTGACTTGGATTTGTACACAAAAATACAGACCGACCTGGTGGAACAGAAAATGGCCTTCTTAAACAGTGTCCCCAAGTACAGAAAACACCATGTTGTCAAAATGGTCTTTGCATGCTGTGGCATTACCAGAACCCTTTACTGGAAAACCTGAAACTAATCATTTAGAGGGGTGTCCACACAACGTTTGGCTTTATAGCGTATGGACCCAAAAATACAACAGCTCACAGTAGTAAACTGAACTGTCCCAACCTACCTCATTATACATAGGATCTCTTTTTAAAGACGGCTGATACTGTTCACACAATACTGTAAATACCGTTAATTTCCCACTGCAAAAAGAAAAAAAAAATTTTTTTTAATTGAATTACCACAGGTTTCCAGGAATGCACATTTACCACCCAAGAGACTGATCTGCACATCAATCAGGAAACACAACTCTCAGAACACTTGGAAGCAAACTGGTGCTTTGTGCATGCAGAGAAAAGCAACATGTTTGCTTTAAAGTGATTCTAAACCGAAACCTTTAGTTGTACACAGAGGTTGGGAATGGACTCCCAGATCAATTTATAGATCAAAAGTATTTAAAAAAAAAAAAAAAAAAAAAAAAAAAAAAATCACTTCCACAATACCTGTTATTTCTTCCACATGACTTCTTCAATGTATTTTCATCCTGGACAGTGGACAGAACCAGCCTGCCCTGCCATGATTGGCTGTGAGAGGAGGAACCGCTGTCACTCACTCTTACCCACCCCATCAGGCTCCCAGCTGCCTACTTCACCAGCAGCACTACCTGATGGGGCAGGTAAGAGTGTTTGATTGACAGTGGTTCCTCCTATCTTAGCCATTCATGGTAGGACAGGCTGGTTCCACCCAATGCCCATCCTGTTTGAATCTGAAGAGTGTCGCCTTCAAATATGAGATGCATATGAGATGGCAACACTGCATAGGGGAGAGGACCATGCAGATTGTTGCCCCCAATAACAGACATGAGGGATCATTACCAGGATCAACATGTTCGTTTTAGCTCAAATAATTTATTTTAAAAAAAAGTTGCAGTATTACAACTTTGCTGCAAAGACTATGTGGGCTTTTATGTATTTTATGTGCTTGGGTGTATCCAACTTTTTTTTACATTTTTCATCACATAGGGGCCAAATTCCCCAATGTGATGACTTTTTGGTAATCGGTTCTATTTAATAAGACATGCAGGGTCATAAAGACCCTACATGTCTCCCCTGCACTCTTCTGAATATAATGCAGTGCAGTCTGCAATGCTTTACATTCTTTCCCAGCCTCAATGGCTGAGGACACTGATAATGGGGACCTGGAAGTGACATCATACACGTCGCTTCCGGGTCAGGAACAAGAAGGGAGGGGAATAGAGCAGACGTGTCCACTTTCCTTCCTCCCCTCTAAGCAGCGACACCCACTATTCTCAACCAGGGCCCACAGATAGGCAAGCAGAGCCCGGGATACATCGCGGTGGGGACACACTTTCTCGGCATGTGTGGAAGCAATCAGGCAGCAGCGGAGCCACCCACATGCTTGCACCTGACAAGCCCTGCTAAAAAAAAAAAAAAAAAAAAAACACTATCTACCCAGCACCCAGAACTACATGTCCCAGGCATCGGGTGATACAAATTGTGCATTCCTGCAAACCCTTTCACATCTTTCATGGTCAGCTTTCTTTGTGGCTCTCAGCATTCAATAACATGACATCTCAGAGCTAACCAAGGAAGTTGGTGCAGGAAACTATTGCCCAGCATGTGTTACTGACTTTCAAAAATGGAAACTGAAGCACCACACCACTGCTAAAAGATCCATATGCTATCAGTTTCCAATTAAAGTCAGGAGGACAATCAAAAAAAAATAAATAATATACGTATGATTGCAAAGTATCTATTTATGGCCAACAGTCTAACATATTATTGCTGGCCTGGAGGGGGTCAATGCCTCCCTTTCCACCAGCCCAGTCCTCCTCTGTATTACACAATACACTGAAATATGAATAGCAAAACTCATTTTAAAAACAGCTTGTTCAACCTGAAAGCAAGTCCATTGAGTTTTTAGAGAAAGTGTATACTGTCGCGCTCTAGGGACCAGAGTTATCAGTAAAACACGGCCTATGAATGCAAAAGGAAATAATCTAGGTCACAATCAATACACTATTATGCTGTATGATATATATATGTCAGTAATATGCCATTATATGCTTTCTTAAAGTGGAATTTAAACCCAACACTAACAATTCTTAAAAATGTCCACACTACCTCCTCCTACCTACCCTGTGTAAAAAGGATCTGTAGGTTTACCATTTTTTGGTCCAATCCAGTTCATTCTTGTGATCTTGCACCCCTGGCCCCCTATGTAAATGAGCTGTGGCTGCCGGGGGAATGGGAATTCCCAGCCACTGTCCAATGGAACTGCAGGATCATGTGACTGAACACACACACCCACTTTTGTTTTTTTACACAGGTTAGGAAGGATAGGCAGGAGGAGGGGGGAATAAAATTAAGAATATTATGTATGAGGCTTGAATTCCACTTTAAAAAAAAAAAAAAAAAAAACAGCCATCTCAGATTCCATTTAAAAAATGTTTTCATTGTTCTGAATTCTAGTCAATGCATAAAAATCAAAAAACATACCCCTCTACAGCCAGTAGTAGAAACCAAATAAAGTTTAAAAGGGGCTGTACAAAAGGAGGACCCCTCTCTATTGAAGGATGCTTCTCTGTATATGTCGTGAAAACCACAGATGCACTTGTTTTGTTTTTTTAAACAGAGGAATCTGAAAGGAAGCACAAACAACATCTTGAGAAAGACAAGAAAAAAAAAAAAAAAGTAATTGCAATGCTGCTTTTACAGAATGACATTTATGTCCCGGTAGCATGCAATCCAACGTAACAACTATACAGAAACAAAAACAGAAAATAAACCTTTAGTTTTGAATCATGGATCAACAGCTTTTGGTGTAATAATTTGGATGCCAGGTATATGGTGTACTAGGTGTCAATGCTAAGCCTCTTTGGTATTGAACACAAAAAACACCACACACACACACTAAGTGGAGAAGGTAAGGAAGGCGTTAATTGGGGCTGATTAGCATGTTAAATAGGAAGACTTTTTTTATTATTTTTAATTTGTAAGGCTTCTATAACTGATATCATATGCAGATCAAAAGGTCACACCTATGATCTAATATCCATAGGATTTAAATAGTAAATACAATTACATAATACATTGTTACACTGTATTTATACAAAGATACTTCCAAAAACTACAAGGTGTGGAAATTTAATTCCTGGAATGGACCGGTAATAACCCCTATCATCTGCATTCTACAAAAGTTCAGATAAAATATGAAGACTGCGTGCTTTCTGCTCTGTCAAGATCTTTGTGGAAATCGTTCTCATTCCCAAATCCTCCATTAGAATCTGCCGCACTGTTTCCCTGTTCCTGTTCAATTCTTCTGCCCACATTCACACAGTCAATCTTCGATCTGAGTGTACGAGGGTTCGCACTCTGTCCACAGTGGCATCCATCCTTTGTGTTTTTCAGCTGCCCACTTCTTGCATAATCATGGACATCTTCCCACCCTCCTTGAACAACTTATGCCATTCAAACCCTTGATTTCTTCACGGCATGCTCACCGTATGTCTGTGGTAACAGCTAAAGCTTCACACGCATTTTTGCCAGTTTTAACACAAAATTTGAGGTTAATCTGCTGCTCCCAGATTCCTGTCATTTATTTTCTGCTAATAGCGCAATGCACACACGTGTTATTTTTTTTCTTCTACTCCATAAAGACTGAGTCAACTGGTGTGACCCAGGCGAGTGCAAGTTAGAACATGTCACAACACGCTCGAGTGCGAATGGCTGTGTGACTCTTCACCTTAGGGCTTACGCCATGGGCATTCAATAGTCAACACCTTGTATTTGTCATCCGGTAATTGCAGTGGCAGGGGGAGAGACAATGGACAAAAAGGTATATCGTTAAAAAAAAAAAAAAAAAAAATAAAAAACTTCAACCAAGTTTTTAAGACCCATCCCTTTGCAGGCCATAGATGGTTCGTTTATCGGCCAAAAACAAACCATTGGTCGTTCTGTTGCCACCAATGATTACGAAAATCAGCCGTTTTTCATAAATTTTCCAGCATGACCATAAAAGAAATGAGGGGGAACCGCGAAAATCGGCCGATGACATTGCCCCAGTAACGGTGCGAATATCGGCCAATTATTCTTTTGGACGAAAATTTGGCCGATAAATGAACCGTCTATGGCCTGCATTACACTTAACATCTTCAAGTGGTTTAAGGACAAATTAGCAAGACACTTTGTTGATGCTTCCTGCGGTGTTTCCGCTATCAAAGGAGAGACTCAACATAAGCAGGGAAAGTTCCTTTAGTGATCCAATTGCTGGCAATTTGGCAGTAGTGACGAGATTGCTGGAATGATATGGCTTTTTATTTAGATGCATGTGTGTATAGCTCAGCTTGATCTACTAAAATCTGTATATGGGTTGTTTTCATTAAAGGTTAACTCCACCTTCTGCAACATGCTACAACCATTTTAGGGTGTAACATAAGTTGCCAAGCATACCTGTCATGCACAAGGGGGTTCTTCTCCCCCCACAGCTGCTGTCACTTTTAAAATAGGCACAACTGGTGTGTGTTCTAAGGTGCAATGCTTTGCATGCTCCTGTGAACTAAAAAAAACAAACAAAAAAAAAAAAAAAAAAAAAAAAAAAAAAAAAAACACACACCACACTTGAAATTGTATTCATACCCCTTGAAATTTTCCACATTTTGTCATGTTACAAGCAAAAAACGTAAAATGTATTTTATGTGATAGACCAACACAAAGTGGCACATAATTGTGAAGTGGAAGGAAAATGATAAATGGTTTTCAAGAGATTTTATAAATAAATATCTAAAAAGTATGACGTGCACTTGTATTCAGCCCCCCAGAGTCAATACTTTGTAGAACCCCCTTTCGCTGCAATTACAGCTGCAAGTCATTTTGGATATGTCTCTACCAGCTTTGCACATCTAGAAAAGGGTCATTTTTGCCAATTCTTTTTTGCAAAATAGCTCAAGCTCTGTCAGATTGGATGGAGAGCGTCTGTGAACAGTAATTTTCAAGTCTTGCCACATAGTCTCAATAGGATTTAGGTCTGGACTTTGACTGGCCCAGTCTAACACATGAATATGCTTTGATCTAAACCATTCCATTGTAGCTCTAGCTGTATGTTTAGGGTCGTTGTCCTGCTGGAAGGTGAACCTCTCCGCCCGTCTCAAGTCCTTTGCAGACTGCAATAGGTTTTATTCTAAGATTGCCCTGTATTTGGCGCCATCCATCTTCCCATCAGCTCTAACCTGCTTCCCTGTCCCTGCTGAAAAAAAGCATCTCCGCAACATGATGCTGCAACCACCATGTTTCACAGTGGGGATGGTGTGTTCAGGGTGATGTGCAGTGTTAGTTTTCCGCCACACAGTTTTGCTTTTAGGCCAAAAAGTTAAAATTTTAGTCTCATCTGACCAGAGCGCCTACTTCCGACTGCAGTTTGCGAGAAGCCATGTGGGGGACGCAACAAAATGGGACTTCCTATGGCTTTCTTTTTGCCACTCTTCCGTAAAGGCCAGATTTGTGGAGCAAGTGCACAACTAATAAAATGTCCTGTGGAAAGATTCTCCCACCTGAACTGTGGATCTTTACAGCTCCTCCAGAGTTACCATGGGCCTCTTGGCTGCTTCTCTGATTAATGCTCTCCTTGCCTGGCCTGTCAGTTGAGGCGGACAGCCATGTCTTAATATTATTATACAGGCTTTATATAGCGCCAACAGTTTGCGCAGCACTTTACAATATAAGGGAGACAGTACAATTACAATACATTTCAGTACAGAAGGAATGTGAGGGCCCTGCTTGTGGAGCTTACAATCTAAAGGAAGGGGGAGGTGATACAAAAAAGGTGATAGCTGCGGGGGATGATCTGGTGGAGGAGATTCAAGTACAGTTCTTAGGTGGAGGTGGGGTAGGCTTCCCTGAAGAAGTGCGTTTTCAAGGATCGCCTAAAGGCAGACAGGGTAGGGGCTGACCAGACATGCTGTGGTAGGGAGTTCCAGAGGATGGGAGAGGCTCTGGAGAAGTTCTGGAGACGAGCGTGGGAGGAAGTGATGAGGGAGCTAGAGAGGAAGATATCATGGGAGGAGCGGAGTAGGCGATTTGGGCGGTATCTGTGGATGAGGTTGGCGATGTAGCTAGGGGCAGTGTTCTGGATGGCTTTGTATGTTGTTTTTAGTATTTTGAATTTTATACGTTGGGTTAGTGGAAGCCAGTGGAGGGATTGGCAGAGAGGGGCAGCAGTCGCTGATTGGTTGGTAAGGTGTATGAGTCTAGCAGCAGCATTCATAATAGACTGAAGGGGGGATTGCCTGTGTAACGGTAGACCAGTGAGGAGGGAGTTGCAGTAATCGAGGCGGGATATAACCAAGGAGTGGATGAGTTGTTTTGTGGTGTCATTGGTCAGGAAGGGGCGAATTTTGGAAATTTTCCGGAGGTTGAGGTGGCAGGATTTAGCCAGTGAGTTGATGCGGGGCCCGAAGGAGAGGTCAGAGTCTAGGATAGGTTTGCAGTTGTGCCATACGCTTTCCATTTTTGGATGATGGATTGAACAGTGCTTTGTGAGATGTTCAAAGTTTAGGATTTTTTTTTTTTTTTTTTTTTTTTTTTTTTTTTTTTTAATATAACCTAACCCCATTTTAAACTTCTCCACAACTTAATCTCTGACCTGTCGGTGTGTTCCTTCATGATGCCGTTTGTTCACTAACAAACCTCTGAGGGCTTCACAGAACAGCTGTATTTATATTGAGATTAAATTACATACAAGTTGACTCAATTCCACTAGATTTTAGTAAGGGGTATCACAGTAGAGGGGGCTGAATACAAATGCATGCCACACTTTTCATAGATTTGTAAAAAATAAAATGCATTTACAGTTTCGGTTGTAACATGACAAAATGCAGAACATTTCAAGGGGTATGAATACTTTTTCAAGGAGATATATATATATATATATATATATATATTTATATATTTTTTATATATATATTATTTAATATTTTTTTTTTTCTTTATTATTTATTTAATGCATGTCCAGGCTGTCAATAAAAGAATCAGAGTTGAACAATAAATGGATGATGGCACACTGCAGAAATACTTGCCATCATCCATTTATTCTGCACACAGGTTTGCCCTTCATTTTTATTTATCAAGGCAGCAAAGGAGCACAGTTCCAAGCAGAAGGGCTTTGAACAGTAAGTCCATAGCAAAACGACCAAGTCAACTCAGGTCAGTTCCTGATTAACAGGTTGTCCCCAAACAGGTTCCTTAAACTGGCAGCACTTGTATTTTTTTTTTCTTGTAGTGTTCTGTAAGCAGTCAGCCTTTTCACATAGAGAACACACAAGCAAGCAGCTCACATTTGCAGAGGCCTATGATCAGCTGAGACTAATGTGACCCGGCCACTAGGTTAGATGTGAAGCTAGAAATGGAGGCTGGAGGCCAAAGATCTACAAAGCCTCTGGGTTCCAGGACCCATACAACTTACGATTCATAACAGTTTGTTTTCTCCACTTTGGAGTGGGGCGGGGTTATGACAGTGCACTGGGGGGGCATTCCCAGCAAAGCTTTTGCCAGTGTCCAATCAACTGAAGGTAGTGGCAAATAACCCACAGTTGACAACTTCCTGCGCCACTTAGTGTCCTGAATGATGAAGATAATTTTTTCTTCACTTCACATAGAAACCCAGTTGATTCACATTGTTTGCAATTTTGCCAGCCAGTGCCATGCAAAATAAATAAATAAAAACACAAACACACAACACCTCTTCTCACACATATCCTTTTTTGCAAAGCCACACCTCCGCTCAATATTCCTAGAAGTAGGAGTGGCTAGACAGGAAGTCTTTGTATTCTTCCTGCCAATACAGAGCTGAAGGACTTAAGCGTGCGACACAGATAGGGTACACAGGAGTACACCAACAAGAAGGACCATCGGGGCAGGGAGAGCTATGGGGTCCACAACTGAAGTGTAGAATACATTACATACCGCTCATTTAAAACGATGGTATTTGAATAATGAGAGTCATTCTGACCCTGATAAAAGACAAACATCTGCGTACTTACTGCAGGACGGCCTGTGCCACGAACATGTCTACCTCACTGCGGTAGCCACGAGTGGATGAGTATTCTACTAACATATTGGCGCACCCTTCTCCATCTGAGGAGTGCAGGAAGTGATACCGGGATTCATAATAATTTTGCTCTGAAAAAAGAAAAGATCATTAATGATACAAACGGGTCACCAAACTACTAAGTTGTTTGACAGGGATATATAAAATCTAAAGGCTAGATCGCTAGAAATACACATTTTTGGCAGGTAAAATAGGTCTTACATGTATTCAACAGTGAATATAGCAGTTTGCCTGTAGATCAGTCATAATGCAGGGCAACTTCATAGCCCATTTAAAGAAGAAAAAAAAAAAAAAAAAAAAAAAAAAAAAAAAGGGGGGGGGGGGGGGGGGGGAAGGACCACAGTAACCAGATGCTAGTTTTCAATCCCCAAGTCAAGGGTCACACAAAAATATGATCCAAACATAACAGCATGTGTCACAGGCACAAGATAAGCAGTATCAATGCTAAATTTGAAGAAGGAGAGAGAGAAGGAGAGAGAGAAGGAGAGAGAGAAGGAGAGAGAGAAGGAGAGAGAGAAGAGAGAGAGAGAAGAAGAGAGAGAGAAGGAGAGAGAGAAGGAGAGAGAGAAGGAGAGAGAGAAGGAGAGAGAGAAGGGGGGGGAGAGAGAGAAGGAGAGAGAGAAGGAGAGAGAGAAGGAGAGAGAGAAGGAGAGAGAGAAGGAGAGAGAGAAGGAGAGAGAGAAGGAGAGAGAGAAGGAGAGAGAGAGAGAGAGAGAGAGAAGGAGAGAGAGAAGGAGAGAGAGAAGGAGAGAGAGAAGGAGAGAGAGAGAAGGAGAGAGAGAAGGAGAGAGAGAGAAGGAGAGAGAGAAGGAGGAGAGAGAGAGAGGAGAGAGAAGGGGGGGCCAGTTCCTGCCAGCTGCAGGCTCTGCTCCTGATGGGTTTCACCCTAAGGAGGGTGACGCATCTTCCTTTTTAAAACCGTTTGGAATAAATTGTCTATAAAAAAAAAACCACATCTACCTATTAAGATCAATCAAATGTCAATTGCCTGAGACAAGCATTTCATTTCAGGTGGCAGAATATCCTACCTTTCCATAACGTAATAGCTAGTAATTGGTGCAGCTTTGGGTGACCTAGTTTTCCTGACCCTCCAGACGACCACTTGAGAGCTCGGGATACAAACGCCACTCGCTCTGGAGAGTTTTGATCCATCAAACTAAACAATTTGGCCAAGTTTTCTAAAGAAAATTTCACAAGATTTTAATACAACATATATTTTAATTATAACAAACAACATCTGAAACAGGTGATGGTCAATTCCTTAAGGGCCAGTTCACACTACATGCATTTGTTGTTTTTTTTTCCTGCATCCAAAACGCACAGAAAAAAGGTTTTATGCTTGTTAATGTCAAAGTTCACATCAGTGCTTGCAGTTCCAGTGCATTCTAGTTGCAGAGAAAAAAATACAACATACTATATTTTTTCTGCACAGAACTGTACTGGAACACGGTAAAAACACACCAAACACACGTCCCCTGTTTAAATTGAAGAAAAAGAGGGGATAAAATGAACTGGAACGCAGTAAAAAACGCGTATGCGGAAATGCATCCAGACTGTTTGTATACTGTGAACCAGCCCTTAAGGAAATGATGGTTTGTATAAATGTATCATTTACATACATTTGCACTGTATGGTCAGACCACATCATAAGTGGTCTACTTTACCTGACTGGTCATGCCGTTGTAACCTAAATGGCTGATGTATTCACAAAGAATTGGCAAGTAGATTTTATATTTTTTTGTTTTGAAGCTACAATAAAAACTTTGAATACTGGGTGGTAGCAACCTTGAAAATGAAGTGTAAAATAAAGAAAGCCTTTCGTATCTCCTGAACCAAGGTCAAGCAATAAAAAGCCCCAAGATCCTATTGCGAAGGCAAAATAAAGGACGCTTTTCTGTAGGTCATATTGGCCAATATAAATGAGGAGAGGACTTATTTTACATTGGGAGGATTCCAAAACCAGGCATTGTAGGGTCAAGCACAGGAATGGGACCGTGCAACGTATCCATATAAAGGCTGCTATGCCATCCTTGTTTTATACCTTTTGTTGGTAATTATTAAAACATTGTAGCACAGTGTATGGGCACAGCATTGAAATTTTAGGGGCAGCTGTGCAGACAAACACCTGGAACGATGGCAGTTCCCTACCATAGCCAAGGCCCCCATCTGCGCAGGAAGTTGACATTACCAAATCCTCAAAGCATTTCTGCTTGTAGGGCAGACATGTCACCGGGGTTGATTTACGAAAGATAAATAGACTGTGCACTTTGCAAGTACAGTTGCGCTCATCTTCCCCAGAGCTTAGTGAATGGTCAAACTTCACTTTGAAAATACCCAATTAGTTGCAAAGAAAATAAAGAGCATTTTTGTTTGCAAATGAACGAATGACAGAAATATGCAGAGCGTCACCTCATTCGCCAAGTTCTGAGAAAAATGACTGCAATGGCACTTGCAAATGTTTGCTTTTAAAAAATGAATGTCTGTTATAACAGACATTATCTTTAGGCAGTATATACACACAATGCTGTGAAGAAGAGCAGCGTCTGCTTACCTATCCCCTAACCCCATTGAACAGCACCATTTCTCAACGCCACTGCTCAAGTACTCATGGTCGATCATATTCTACGTTTTTTCTTGGACCTTGTTCACACGGGCTTCAGTTTTTATAAAAGCAATGATTGCGGCAAGCTTTTGCACAGCATCCAAACACCTTTACTAAAGCCTTTAAAGAACACTTCAGCTCCAGTTTGGAAAATTTTAAAAACATTTCTTAATAGGAATGCTGACTGCTACTCAAGCTCCTAGCAGGCTTCAGTACGCTTCACAACCAGCGCGGACTGACAACTCATGGGGCTCCCAGGCAATAGGGGATCATGGGGCCCCTGTGTCTTTGCCCAAACTCAAAGCCTATGAAAAAGGTACCAGGGGCATCTCATGGGGCCCCCTACTGACCCTGGGCCCTCGGGCAGTGCCCGAGTTTCCAAATGGTCAGTCCGCCCCCTGGTCACAACTATTTGAAGCTCCTTGAAAGTCTGCTAGCGAGTTATTTAAAGTAATTGTCAGCACTCATTAACCCCTTCATGATGAAGGTAAAAAAAAAATCCCAACACTTGAATACAATTTTGCAACTTTAACAAGTGTTAGTAAAACTACATATCACCACAACGACTGTGTATCCAGGTGGATTATACCGCGTTTTCCCAGGACAAAATTGGTCTCATTTGGTAGTAAATTGTAAATGATATCTCCAATTGTTTTTATTATTATCAAAAGGAAACCTGGCCCAAAATCGTAAAAAAAAAAAAAAAAAAATTTAAAATTTAGCTGTATTTTTCTTGCTGCTACCATAACCTACCACCAAAGAACAACCCTAAATAAATTCTCCTGCTCCTGACGATAGCAGCGATACCACATACAGTATGTAGATGTTATTTGAGGTTTGTACCCGTAGTATGGGCCAGAAACAATGGTGCGCATTTTGCTTTTTTATATTACATAAAATATACTGACACTGACAGTAATATTAAAAAAAAAAAAAAAAAAAAAAAAAAAAAAAAAAACACCTGATCCGGAGATTGACCCTAACCCTGACACTGGCCTAGATTAAACCTTGACCTAGCCATTTTATTTATTTAAACACTTGTTTTTTTACATTTTTCTCCTCTAGCAAGGAGAAAGATACAATGCATCTTTCTCTCCATTAAAAGCATATACAAGGGCAAGCTTTACAGCGATTGATCACTGTAAAAAGTCAATCATAGGCTATCACAGCGATCAGGTACCAGGGTTTCTAGTTCCCGAACGTTAGTACAGGACTCAGGGCTCTTGATGAGAGTTCGGTTCCTGTGTTAGGAGCATGTTGTGAAGCGTACTCCCAGCACAAAGACGTGAGCATATATGCAGCATCACAGAAGACCCCGTTTCAGTAAAGCTGCAAATGTGCAAATGTGGCAGCCAGGGGAATAAAACCAAACTCCAGGTATGACCTTAAAGTGGTATTCAGCCCGAAAGCAAACATTATATTGCAGCTTACAAATTCTTAAACGTGATTTCTGCATTAGTTTTCTTTTTTAGTCTCTATCCTTTATTTTCACCTAGTGATCTAGCCAGTAAGTGTTGTTTTTCAACACACCAAGCTGCCCTGAAGATGTACCAGTCACAGACATGAGAAACTATTTAACACTGGCAAGGAGGACTACAATGATCAGCGTTTATGTATCTGAAATAGTTGAAACAAACAGGTTTTTATTTTTTTTATTTTGCTGAGTATAAACTATTAGCTGGACTTTGGCTTCAATTTGTTAGTGTATCGAAGTGTGCTAGTACATTTAATACATCCCTCCTCCTAGATTAACAATATTGCTGTCTGCATTGCCCCCTGTGCTCCTTCACCCAGAGTGGAGGCACTGTAATACAGGAGGGTGTGTTACTGGCCAGATCTCCAAATAAAAACAGGAGCGGGGGAAAAAAAAAAAGTAAGTGTGTGTGTGTGTGTGTGTGTGTGTGTGTGTGTGTGTGTGTGTGTTGAAATACATTTTTGTTTTTATACCACTTTAATCATACTTACACAATTCCCCTTAGACATTGGTGTTTGCTGGCCCTTTATCCCACCCACCCATGATTGCTGCAACTTTCCTCTGTTGTAAGAAGAAGGGAGGGGTTCTTCATTATAAACAGAACTAAACTACTTTACACTAGTGATCACTGTGATTGGTCATCACAGAACTCACTAGGTACAGAGCCACTCCAACTGGACCTGTGCCTTTAGCCGATACCATCTGACAGCAGGAGGCGCAGTTTTATGTGTGCACACAGTGCAAGGACATACAGGTACATCCACCCACCCCAGTAAGGCAGCTAGGGAGGGTAAAGTTAAACTCCAGACAGATATAAAAACACTAATGAATACAATTCGGTATCCATAAAAATTAAAATGACATTTACGTATAGCAGCACAGCGGGAGGAGAGGCAGATGGGGACTATCCGATGTCCTGTGCTGACAAAGAGGGCAGAGAGATAACCTGATTGTTCAACTCCTGGTTCTTCACTGTCCAGTCACAGGAAGGGGGCAGGAAGGTGACTTAGTTGGGCTGCTTATCTAAGGCCAAATAAAGGAGGGTGTCACATCAGCAGCCTGGTTATGCTCTCTGGCAGGGCTGTGTAAACATGAGGTCTGGATAGGCAAAGATACAAATTCTTTGGCAGGTAAAACAACTTCCATATCTGTATTTCAATGATGTATTTAGCTGCGTGCCTGTAAGGAAGGACACTTTATATCGGCTCAAACTCACCTAATAAGTCCTCTGTCACTTTAGCTTCAGATTTTTCTAGTGACTCCAGTACAAGCATGGACAGATCAGCAGCACTGTTTTGCTGCAAGGCAAATAAAAGTATTCAAAATGAAGGTTTTCAAATGTTCATGAAAAGTAAACAAAACACGACTCTAGCGCTCACAGGGAGAAATGCTGATTGTACAAGTTACTGCCTAATAAGGCAACAAAGTTACATTTTAATAGGTGCAGCCAAAGTGACATTGATAGAGCGTGGATATGTTCTTACTTGACCATGGCTGAAGAACAGCACAGCTCCGGAATACATTAATTCTCTGGCTTCCGTGTGTTTGTTCTGTGACATATACCTAGAAAACAAAAAGAGTAACTTTAGCTGAGATGTTACATTTGTGAAAAGATAGAGGAGGCAGAGCTGCCGGCTCAGGCAAATCAAATTACATTGTAACCAAGATCAGATTTTATCCACTTCTGGGGGAACTTCTGCCAAAACTGAGCAGAGCAGGGGAGGGGTTAGAACCTCTGTCAGGTTTTTTATTGGCGCTTGTATGTTTCCACTGCTGAAATTTCCTTCTATTTCCTGTCCTAGGGACATGTTACCATGAGTACAAGAAATTACTGAAGAATTTCAATGCGCCGGCACCCGACAAACGTCAATGTGGGTAACAGATTCATGTACGTGGTATACACAGGCAATCATGTGCGCAAACCGAGTGGGGAGGCGCACTGTCCATGTGGACACTCTGACCTCAGTACAGCGGCACTCCCTCCCTGCCGATGCAGCTGTCAGACAGCACAGCAGCAAGGTGTATTGTACCTGGAGTGGGGGATTTACAGACACTAGTTCCCCATCAAGTATGCTTCCCTTGTGACAGACAGCAGGCAGTGGGTGAATTTTTAGCCAACAGACAAGCCTGCTATTGGCTAAAGAATCTGCCCACTGCCTGCTGTCATTTACAAGGCGAGAGTGGACCTGATCAGGAACTAGTGCCTCAGCCTTCCCATCAGGCTCCGCCTACAGCAACATCTATTCTTCAGAGCCGACAGCATCCTCGACAAGGAGGGAGGTAGCAGCGGGGAATATACCGCTCTGCTACACCATGTACAGGGAGGGGCACTCTACCCGTCTCTGTACACCAATTTAGAGTAGGTATTAATTACTTACAGTTTCATTATCTACGAACTGAAGGTAAATATTTTTGAATTTGGTGCATTAGTACTACTTTGTAAAAAAAGAAAATAATAATAATACTTGAAACTGCTGCATGTGTCAGTAAATTTACTGAAACAGACAATGGAGAATTTTGAATGTGGAGCAGGCCATAGAACCAAAAAACCCACCCTTACATCTTTATTATTGGGTTTATACTGCTGCCTGTGTCTGTCTAGGTGATACCCATGTGTCTCATTTTGACAGACAGCAAAATAAAATTGTGATAGAGGATCCAACCCTTCCCTGCGATTCAAAACTTAAAGTTTAAAAGAAAAAAAAAAAAAAAAAGAAAAAAATTATTGCCTGGAGTTGGTGTGGAGAGAAGAATCCCCAGAGCAATAGAAAATCAAAAGATTGTTAAAATGAGGAGGGGTTATAACCAACTGTGCAGAAAATCCTAGGACTCTCTGCAATGGTACACCTTGTTGTGAGATATTCCAGAATTGCCAAGAGCCCCAAAATTGCTTTCTTTTTCTATGAACTGAATGGTTCCCCAAGTACTGGGAGATCTCCCTACTGATACTTTATTTACAGACTGTGGCAGACTACCCCCTTCCTTACACATATCATGTCACTTGATACCAGGTTATCCACTTTCCTTGATAGATGAGAGCATCGTATACTCTGCTCAGTCACAAACTATGCAAAAAAAAAAAAAAATTGTGCCCATGCAAAACCCGCCAGCTACATTAGTTAACAGGGGGAACTGGTCCCTCCAAGAACTGTCAGTCATCCAGTGGGCTTTGGGGACCATTCCTCAGGATGGGAGGAGATGTATGTAGGTACACTACTCTATTTCAAGGATGTTCTGCCTGAGTAACCCCCCCAATGGTGATGGGGTTCCTAAAAAAAAAAAAAAAAAAAAAAAAAAAAAAAACAAAACAACACACAAAAACATTAGCAGTCCTCATATTTCTGAGAAAATGGTGTTCAGGATCTGCAGGACTGCACTGATTGCATAGAAAAATTAGGCTGCAAATTGTACTTTATTGTACTTAATTATGTCAAGACCTTTTATTTATTTCTATTTTTTTTATTTATATAAAAGGAGATTCCCACTCTCACATTTAAAAATGCTAATTAATAAAAAAAAAAAAAAAAAAAAAAAAAAAAAAAAAAGGTAAACAATAGTAACCTTAGACCAAGCTTCTTTACCTAAGTGAGGGTGATGTATTTTGCAATAATGCTTTCCAACACAGTGCAGGAGGGTATCCCTCCGTTTTCCAGGATCCCACGGTGAGCAGCATCTCCGACAAGCGGTTGAAAGCTAGGGTCCCAGGCAAGGAAGTTTAACATTTACAGTGTTTGTTGTTAAGGCTAGGTTCACACCGGTGTGGTTTAAGTTTATTCAGATTTCTAGTGAGATTAAAAGGAGCACCTCCATGGCGATTTATATGCGGTTCAGCAGGGATTGCAATGCGATTTGTATCTACGCCCTAGGGTCGCTCTTTAGCAGGTCAGAAAACAGCAGTGACTTGCCAAAAAACGCACTGGAATAGCATTGTATTTGAACAAATAAGTGTTTCACATGTGATATACATTCAAACTTTATGCAGTTCGCATTGCACCACTACAAACACACAAAAAAAAAAAAAAAAAAAAAAAAAAAAAAAAACACAAACAAAAAAAACCACAAATCGCATTGCATATATGTAAATGCTCTCCATAGAAAATCATTTTATTTAACATGTCATGCAATTCCAATGGTTCTGGGACACATCCACAAATCACATCGGTGTGAACCAGGGCTAACTAGTGACCTCATTCACATCTAGCGATTTGGGATCGCAGGTGGAATTGCCACGATTCAGGTCCAAACCACACTGCAATGCTAGCAAAACACACAGCATGTTTGTTTGGGTGCCATTCACTTTTGATGACACCTAAACGCAGTGCCATTTGGCCACAATTGTTGTGTGATAAATTACAATGCAATCGCAGTAAACTACATTGCGTGGACCTTGTTACCCAAAAGAAGCTCCTGCTCCTTTTTGGGCGTCAATCTTCACGCGATGTGCTAGACATGAATGGGGCCTGACTGAACGCAAGGGTGGGGAGCTACTGAATTGCACATCCTTGATGTTTGGTGCAAGGTTCTTTTTAAGCACACATCATTAAATGTCATACCTTGCATAAACATAAGGCACACTTCAGCACTAGCAAAATATTTTTATCATAAAAAATCCTTTCCTACCAGGAATAAAAACAGCTTCTCCTGCACTCCCTCAGCCAAGTAATATGCTCACTGGCTAACAGAGCACTGTGGGTGTTTCACGGTATTGAAGACTGCTTTCCATCAGGCAGACCCTTAGTGGGAGGCCTACCATACAACTGTATATGCAATGCACAAATACATCTCTCCAGGTGTACAAATACCATTACAAAACTATACATACAAAAGAAAGCTTTTAAACATTAACATTTATGGATAATATTATTGACACTGAGCTAATCTCTTTCACAAGTAAAAAAAAAAAAAAAAAAAACACACAAACACCTACAAAACAAGTTCCTCCATCAATGTAGTTTATGACATTGACAATAATTCCATAAACATCATGGAGGAGGAGTATTGGGAAGGTGAGTTGGTATGTGGGAAGGAGGTGGACTGGTTGCTTTACCCTACATGAGAAGGACAGAAGTTCATTTTAAAATTAAAGGATAACTGTACACTTTGAAGAAAAAAAAAATAATGTACTTTTTTTTGCAGGTAAAAACCAAAATAAAAAAAAAATAAATAAAAATGTGCATTTATTAATGAATTTTTTTCTAAGGAGCCCTCCGTCCGCAATCACAGGGGGAGAGAGGGGGTATTTGCTGAACATGTTACACCTTAAAATAATTTAGCCACATGCCTACAGGGCACTTATACCCCCTTCCTGCCCAGGCCAATTTTCAGCTTTCAGCACTGTCACACTTTGAGTGACAATTGCGCGGTCATGAAACACTGTACTCATGACTTTTTTCACACAAAACTAGAGCTTTCCTTTGGTGGTATTTAATTGCCACTGGCCATTTTGTTTTTTTGCACGGCAAACCAGCAAAAGAAAAAAAAAAAATTGGGGGGGAAAAAGTCTGTTTCGATTATAAAATTTTGCAAAAACAGGTAATTTTTTCTCCTTCACTGATAGGTACACTGATGAGGTGGCACAGAAAGGTGCACTGATGAGGTGGCACTGATGAGGCAGTATTGGTGGGCATGGATGAGGTGGCACTGATATGCAGCAATGATGGGCACTGATCATCAGTGCAGATGTCCCCTGCCATGATCGGCAGTACTTTCCTCGGTGATCTGCTGTGTCAATGGTGGTAAAAATCCGCTGTGATTGGCCTTTTACCTCATGTGATCAGCTGTGTCTGTAGGACACAGCAATCACAGACAGCACCAGGTGCGTACCGCTGGGGGCACATTCTGGGAGGACATCCTATGACGCCCTCCCAGAACTGGTCAGCTGCGCTGTAGCCGCCTTACGGCTACAGCGCGGTTGTGAAGTGGTTAAAGGATAAGTTCACCTTTCGTAACATACATATACAAGGTGTAACATGTTAAGTACGGACCGGCCCCTGCATTTCACCAATGCCAACATGGATCTTCTCCCCCACTAGCCATCACAATTTTAAAAAATGTGGCCGCACGGGGCTCTGACCACATGGCTGCATCACTCATTCACAGAATTCTGTGAATGAGAAAACTACAAGTTCGGAAGCCTTTGCAGCTGTCGGCTTGTAGTTCTCAATGAAGTACCACGGTGCTGTGGACAGACTGTGTCTGCTTGCCTGTACAATCTCCGAGCACACAGATAACCTGACAGGTCTGCAGGAGACCTGCATGGCACCAGCTATCTGCTGATCACTGGTGCAATGCTTTACAGGCTCCAAAAAAAACAACAAAACACAAAAAAAAAAAAAAAAAAATGCATTTATTGTTTGTTAAAGATGAACTTTTACTTTAATACAAATAACACATTGAGCTAATACAAACTGCAGCAATAAATCTGGGGGGAAAAAAAACACCCCACAGAAGGAAGGTGCTTCTAAGTGCAGTAACTTGACAGTTTATTTGGACACAAGGTGAAAAACACACAGTAACAGTCATGAATACTCAGCTTAAACTACTTAAGAATAGGTTTGAGAAGG